CACTCAATCCACAATAAAAAGCTTAAAAAAAAAAAAGATGTCTTCAGGCCAGAAGCCACAGACCCAGCACTTAAGCCTGGTGTCTCTTGTGGGATACTCATGGTGGGTCAACAATACAGAGGGGACTACTGCAGTAGGGTAGAGGTGGGTTACAGATGGGGTGGTAGGTACTGGAGCTCTCTGTCAGAGGTTCTATCCATCCCACACTGTGGACCAGGGAGAACTAAGCCTTAAATTCCCTTCCAAGATGAGAAAGGGGTAATCTGATCCTCCCTCTGGTTTCTAGGGTTAACTCTCCTACCTCCTGCAAGCAGGGAACAACTATACCCTAGGGTTTCTGTTGTGAGGACAAACCCCTGTCATGTCCCAGTTGTTTTCTCACCCTGCAGGATGTGAAACTAGAATGCCTGGGTTCTCACTCTCACTAGCCCTTTGAGGCTCAGTCTCCTCTCTCTGAGGTGGGTAGCCCTCTGCCCTCCACCTGGGTGGATTTGGTGGATGTCTGAAAGGTGGGTGAGGGTGCTTTGCCATTTACACAGTTATGCAGCTATGAGGTCTCAGTTGGTTGGTTGGTTATGTGCAACCTGAGGATGAGTTTGAGCTGCGGGCAGTAGTGGGGGACCAGGTACCTGTCAGATCCTTGGACTTGCTCCTGTACTCCACGAACCTCTCAGGAAGTAGACATATTCATGCTCCAGCTCAAACTTCCTTGGCTTTTCAGTGGCCATATCTATCTCCCAGATGTGCTTAGTGATGAGGGCAATGCCATGAATGGCTATCCAGCTGTTGGTTTCTAAGTCACAGGTGATGTGTCTGTCCTATCATAGGCTAACTGGCAAAGCCTCCCCTCCCAATGCTGCTATCTGCTCAGATCTTTCACTCAGAAATGAGCTGAAGAATACGGACCCACTGGAAGACCCACAGCCTCATCAGGGACACTAGAGGACAAGAAGGTAGGACAAGGTGAATTGCAGGAACTGCACAGACCTCTTCTCACAACCAGTTTTTGCTCAGATTTGAGAATCTTTAAAATATGTTCAGTTTATGTCTACACTTTTCAATGACATTGTACATGGTTAACGTTTACCAATTCAACGTTAGAAGTTCTATGGGCTTGCCTATTTTATGGTTCCTCCTACTACACCTCAAGGAGCTCTGGTAGCATAGTGGCTATGAGTCAGGCTGCTAACCTCAAAGTCAGCAGTTTGAAACTACCAGCAGTTCTGCAGGAGAAAGCTGAGGCTTTCTGCTCCAGTAAAGATTTATAGCCTCGGAAACCCTATGCAAGGTCGCTCTGAGTCAGAACCGACTCTATGGCACATAACCACCACCTGCTACACCTCAGATAGGTTCCAGAGTACTTGGATTAGCCACTCAAACAACTGCCTTACTTTCCTCTGAGCTGGTGGACACTGTGTGGGTGAAGGATGAGGTGGGAGACCTTGTGACCGCAGACCTGGAGCCACCTTCTGCGTCACTCACTCTGGCTCTCATATAACTAACACATCACGATGTGCAGGTAACCTTGGAGCCAGTGCTGCCAGCCCCACACCTGTGTCCACTTCTGCTCCTAAAAGGTCTTCCCTTCCTTGTCTTGGAGCCACTGTATCAGGGGCTCCACTCTTAGTTGCTCACGGTCATACTTGGTTGTCCTAGTACATCAGTCAGTGTACTCTGGCAGGCTATTCTGATCCTCTGACATCCGGGTATGCAAGAACTGCAGAGGGTGGGACCCTGGGAAGGGCAGAACCAAAGTCATGAGTGGCCTGAATTGTCCTGACCTCACTAATCTCAGGGCCTTTGCACAGTCCCCCCTTTAGAGATGAGACTCAGGAAGGTTAAGTCCCTGCCCATATAACAGAGCTGGTGAATGGTGAGACTGGATCTGAACCCAGGCCATGTGGTTGTTGGTCACACAGAGGGTCTTTGTGAATCTGAAAAGAAACCACAATGATTCTGTGATCACACTCCTGCCCCAAGAGGATTCAGAAACCTGGGATCTAGTCCTGGCCTGTTCATATTAACTGTATCATGTGGATGCTCATATCAGCACTTAACAACAGCAACAGCAGAGCTCTCTTTGGAGTTTTGTTG